ACAAGCCGCCTCGAACATCTTATTGGCTTCGTCGGCCGTCAATTTAATGGCTCCGACCACGGTGACGTGGGGATCGAACTTCGGACCGCCAAACTCCGATCTCAGGCCCTCCATTACCTTCCGGAACCGATCCGCCGCGTCCTCCTCCGGCAATGCCCACACCGAGTAAACCTCCTTCTTCTCATCTGCCGGTTTCGGAGCGTTGGCTTCCATTGCCCGAATCCGGGATCTGATCCTGGAGAAAGATGAAGTTTTTTTTCTGGAGAATTCGTTGTAGGGAATTGTTTTGCCTTCCCAGCGACAACTTTGGGCAAAATAAATTTTCTTTATTTCTTAACATCAGAATATTCCACGGACAAATGCCTTCTCCCTTTCTCTACTCCAGTAAAAAGTCGAACTTTGTACACGTGTTATTGATCTGTACACGTGGCGTATTTTCCGGCGAGAAAATAAAAAATAATTATGCTCAAAGAATGATCGATCATGCGATTAAACTAATAGTTTATATTTTATTACTTTAATTTTAAATTTTTACATCTTAACTATTAAATTTTGATTTTCAGTTTTTATAGAATTTATAAATCTAGAAAGTGTAATTTTTTAGATTTTAATTACTTTTTTTAATAAGATAGTTTTCTGAATTTTTAGAAAAATATCTACTATCAATCTTTTTATTAATTAATTCGGACTTTCACTGGTGCATCATCATCATCAAGAAAAAGTTTACAGACCTTATTACATCTTCACGAACATCACATACCATTTTATTACACCTCCACCAAAAAGTCCCAAAACGTGTGTGTGTGTATATACGCGTACATGTCGTATTTGAGCGTCCATTTTATTACAAACTACGGCTAATGATATTTTTTTCAAGAGTTTAAGGAGCAGTCTTCTTCATGTCCGTCTCGACAATATCAATGGCGAAGCCTTTTCCGTGTTCAACCCAATAATCCGCGTTAGGGTTTTTCACCTCCGGACCGGTGATGGATCCCCTCGTCGTCAATATGGATTCGGTCGAGATTCCATAAGCGTCGTCCCTCTTCTTTACGAGCTCCGGCTTTATCCTCCCCATGTTCACGTCTTGCGGCGACATCATCAGTGCCGGCGGACCAAGTGGCAACCTATCCCCTGAGATATTTACCCTTACCCATTTTGATATCTGAGCTGACGAATGTAAGAAAAAAGGGCAAACATATATGAAAACGTGAGAATTGGATATGGTTAATTACCGCGGTCGATCTGCCACGTGCACCAGAACTTGCCGTAAGTTTTGGCAATGTTTTGGAGTTCGGGCATGGCGACAAGCTCCGGAACCCTTGGAGTGACTAGGAGACCTGTCTGAACCTGCAAATGATAACTTTCTCTCCATAGATACATATTGATGTCTCGGGAACTAGACTTAACTGTTGAGCAAATTAAGCTGAAAAAAGGAAACGACAGATCGATTAGCTTACCTCGTACTGATGCGAATGCCAAAGCTTTTGCTCTTCCGGCGGCAGAGTATTGAACAGCTTCTCCGACACCATATATTCCACTCCTGAAAGAAGATTTGACCTTAGACATTTAAATAGAAGAGAAAGGACACGCATTCCGATCGTATTTCACTAACCCTTTTTAACAAACAATCCACATAATCCATATCTCCCTAGCTAAATCTTTTGCAGTGGAGATATAAAAGAACAAGCTTCAAGAAATTAAATGGAAAGATATGGAGACAGACCGATGAGGTGGGCAGAGGAGGAGTTGGAGTCGTAGACTGCGGACTGGAGGAAGTCCTGGTTAACGCGCTGTACGTAGAAATGGGCTTCGATCTGGCGGCTCGGGTCGTGGCTATGGAGTGCGAAGGAACACAGGTGCTGGCTCATCTGCTTGATGGGCTTCAACGACTGCATCATCGCAGTCCCTTTATCGAGCATCACCGTCGTCGCCGCCATCGGATCCCCCGGCGGTATTTTCTTGTCCCCGTTTCTCGCCGGACATGCTCCCGGAACCTTATCGCTCGACGCCATTGCCAAAGCTTCCCTTCTCAAAACGACGACGTCTTCACTTCTCGATGCTGTTTTGATGCTTCCTTCTCTTGTTTATCATTAGGTGTGGCCTTATAAGCGAAGTGCTAATTTGGAGAGAATGCTGCATGGGAAATGGTTACGTGGGCGATTCCGTAAGGACACGTCACAGAGATGGAAAATGATACGTGGCTTCAGGTTCATGTGACACGTGGCATAGGAAATCACCTAGACACTTGGCATGTTCGGTCGCGGGTTTTGTGCATCTCCTCTTTGACGAGTTCATTTGTTAAAATCGGATTTTACATGTTTCACAAAAATTACATCGTATCAGAATGAATTACTTCATTTTCCATTACAAGATAAAAGTATGTTTTATAATTTGATTGCAAAAATATATATAAGCTAAACTTGGTTATGACTTCATATATTTGCCAACGTTATACACATGAAACGAGTTCCGTACATATAGGCTGAAATAATTAATTAATATACAGATGATAACAAAACGTTTTCACGTTTACCTCAGAAGTCTAGTCAACTTTTGTTACGTATCAGTCTTTCCACATCATTAAATCATTCATTACAGGACCACGTACGGAACGGTCAATTACATCAATGTTTGATACACGATTTTCATTTACGGGAACTGCTCGAACCCTTTAGGAACGACGCGCTCTTCGTGATTTCACGTAGTGGTTTGTCGGTATACCTAACCATATTGTAAATCCATGCACCGGAAACCGCTCCAAGGATCGGACCGGCGAAATATACCCAAATCCCTCTGTAGCATCCGAACACAATCGCCGGCCCCAATGTTCTCGCCGGATTCATAGATGCCCCGGAAACCGCCCTGATAAAAAAAAGTCGAATATATTAATCCATTTAAAATTGCAAAAATAGAAAAAATATTTGGCAGCGGTCTATTCTAATTCAAGATTGTGTGTATCTAATTGGTTACCCTGCGAACAAGACATTGAGCAGCACTGTCGCTCCAACCGCCATTCCGGCGAGTTCTCCAATCTGGCACATGAAAAACATTCGGGGCACAATGTCAAATATCTCCAAAATTGGGGGGCTAAAATGTAAGAAACCAAAAGATTAGTAGAGAATCATGACCATAGAAAAAATTGTATATAAAAAAAAAAACTAAAGAAAATCACTCGAAGGGCAATTATAAACTATAGCCTAAACCGTCCTCGTCATCTGACAGAGGATAATCTAAGATTGGTATATTTATTTGCTTCCATGACAAATCACACCATTTCGAAAACGCATCACCAAAAAGGACAAATACAAACAAATATATATACACATTCAGTTTTTCATGGCGATATTTAAAGAGAGAATCAAAATGAATACTGACAGCTCTGTTGTCGGTGGCGACGCCGGAGATGATGAACATGAGGTAAAAGGTGATGATGAATTCGATACCGAACGACTGAAGGTTCGACCCGGAGGGAAGGGTCCCTACGAAAACGTCGTGTTTGCCGCTGCAGACGTCGTGGCGAAGATCAAACATCAGCCTCAGTGTCGCCGCCGCTAGCGTTGATCCCAGCACTTGAGCTATCAGATAAGCCGGAACCTATACTCTCCACAATGAACCAACTAATGAATTGCCTCATATATATAAACCAAAAAAATCAAAAAGGGTCCCATTAGGGTCCACCAATGTGAATAATTTCGAAAATGATGATTTGTGGTGAAAGGTTCCGCCTTTGTACAAATCTCCAATTCAGTCAATGATTCGTGTTAATTAATAATAAAACCCACAATCATGGAATCATATTTTCTTTAACTAACTTGAAAGTTTCGTGCAACACAATCAATCCAACCAAAGAAACAGAGGAACTCGGTCTTGGTAGCTAACCTACCCATACAAAAAAAAAAAAAAAGGCAAACGGTTCCTCTGTTTGTTCATCAAACACCTAAACAAGTAACAACATTTCGGGTTTCCAGGATATGAACACGAGGGTAAAGAGTGTAGAACCTGTTTAAGGGGGAAACGGCGGCAGGTGGCGAAGGCGAGTGTGACGGCGGGGTTGAAATGGGCACCGGAGATATGGCCGACGGAGTAAACGAGTACCATTACGGCGAGTCCCCACACGATGGAGATCCCTGTAAGCGTCACAACTTTCTCCTTCTGCGCATTCACCGCCACTGCCGCACATCCCGCGAATATCAGGAAATATGTCCCCAGAACCTCCGCCATTAACTGCCAAAATTCAGAAGAAGAAAACATGACTCTGCTTTCGTCTCTTGGGCATTTCATCGAACACAGGAACGGCAATTTGGACAAAAAGGTTGGGAACTTGATGTTACTATTGATAGAATCTGAGAAAACCCATGAGAGGATCCCGACATGGACGATGAATTTACCTTCTGCAAGAAAGGGACAGATACAGAGAGGAGAGAATCCTTTTTCTTGGTGGACGAACTTACGATGTTGTCATTGTTGTCGACATGACACTCGACAGTTTCGCCTTCCTTGATATCCACCGTCACCGACCCTCCTCGTCCTCGTCCTCCGCCATGGCTGTTACCTGAATTCTCCGCCATAACTCCTTTCTCTCCCGGGAGCCACAGAAAAATACAAAATTTTCAGGGTGTGTTGTGACTGCGTGGGGAAGAATGGAAGATTGAACGTCTCGGCCATCTCCAATATATTAGCAAACAGAGAGACAAGAGAGAGAGAGAGAGAGAGAGAGAGAGAGAGAGAGAGAGAGAGAGAGAGAGAGAGAGGATCAACTTACACATGACGTGGCGATTTGGCCATTTATAATAAAAATTTAATTTAAATTGAATCACAGAAGGTCTGTGACACACATGGCAATAACAATATGCTTATTAAGGAAAAAAATATAAACAATATTCCAAAAATCCAAGTAAAACACAATTAATTATCGGTGTTTGCAGCCTCATCGTTATCCTTAATCATTTGTCATCGCCTAATCGCTATCTATAATTTTGTTATAAATAAACAAAAATAGTAAATAAAGCTAATTTGCTTCATTAACCTCCCATAAGATCATTATCCAAAACTTTTAAATTCCCAAGAAAACTGGCATTCTATCTACAGCATGAGTCCAACTGTGTTCATCAGATAAATAAATTTATTAAATTACTCTTTATTTAATTTTGTATTTTCAAATCGAGTTAATGAAACAAAAAATGTAACGTTTATGTAATACATGAGTTAAATTGGTTTTTTTATCAAAATCGAGACAGATAAAAACAACTAAATGAGATATTGCCATGACAGTTTAATGATGGGACGTTATCCATTTATTTTAGTAATTTCTGTTATTGGAAATATTGAAAGTTGTCATTAAAATGCGATGTTCCGACGACCAAATATATATTTTTTAAAGTTAAGATTGGCATTAATGATAGGGACTTCAATTTTACCAACCGGCAGTACAATCTTCTCGTAATATTATCAAATTACAAAATATAAATTCATGTATACTATGATTTAAAAAAATACTATTTTTTCTAATTTTTATACCATTTAAATTATTTTTTCATGATGGAAAAGTATTTATATTAGAATATTATGGTAAAACAATCAACGATATCGACGACGATGGGTTCGAGTGTATAGTTAAATATTAGTATTGCAATAAATAAAATAAATAATCGAATACTTTTGTTAGATAAATAAAATAATTAATGATATCATGTTGTCGTGATCCGACCCTTCCAGTCTCGTGGGAACACAAAAGCTTACCTTCTTTGATTTTCCATCCATCTTCGGGTTGACTAATACTATCAGATTATATCATTTTGGTCAATGCCAAATTGTTGACTGTGCCTACATTAAACATGTGAATGTATGTGCAAGGAAATCCATAAAAGTGTATGTGTAGTATATTTTTTTTTTTTTTTTTTTTATAAACCGAAACTCAACCACAACCTGATATGATACAATAACTTGTAAACCACGTGAAACAATTAAATCATCTTTGAACCATCCAAGATGACAATATTATGAATCCATAAAAAACTTTAGAATGGATGCTATTTTGAAATTTTACATTCAACAATATACATTATCAAATTTGTATCTATTAAATTTTATCCAATTTCTTGTGATTTGATTTTGATATTTTAGGAATACATCATTCCAGCTATATATCTTTATTTTTAAAAATTAAGTTTGATTTCCTCGTTCATTTATTACTCGATGTATTTTACAAGTGTTCTTCAAAATTTTAGGAGTTTATAATAGTATTTAATAATAATAATAAAAAGAAATTCTAGAAACTACCGACATAAATAGTTAGAGGGTAAATATCATAAAGAAAGGGCAACATAATGAGCGAAATTCCGGAAAAAAAAAATTCAAAAATCTAAAAGAAAATATTCAAAGGTCAATTGCGTCTCTTTAACAATTTCTTTTTTTATCATCACAATAACATCTTATTTCCATATTTTTGGCACAAAATAGAAATGGATCATTCACGAATTTATAGAAGTTGGGGGAAAATACACTATATGTCTATCTTTTACCAATAAATATAAAATCATTTGAAAAAATACAATATTTTAAACCTAGTTAAAATTCATATGACTATTATATATGCGTACATTATAAGCATTCTCGAAATTGTATGATATATGAGAAATATATAATATTAAATTAAAGTCATGGAAACTTTGACTAGACGTCAAAATTGAAATTTTCCGTAAAAGAAGCCTAAGAAAAATTTAACGAATTAAAATGTATATATAATATTAAAGTCATGGAAACTTTGACTAGACGTTTAAACTCGATGATTCCTGACAAATTTTCAATATCTAGTAATATCATAATTAATCTATTCATATATGTATGTATGTACGACATTGCCTTTGTTTTATTGCCGTTGAAATGATAATCCATATGATTTACTTATATATATATATATATATATGTATAATTATATAATTATAATGGGACCATCCTTCTCATAGGTTAGATTTAATCTGAATTATTTTTTATTGTGTATAGTGTAGTATCTGTTACTATAATTCCAAAAATTCTCTAAACGTTTTTATATGTTTATTATATCATCTCAAAATGGTATAGTAACATGTCATGTGTGATTTGGAAACAACTTTTTCTTGTCACATTTTAGGATATCTTGATTTGTTTTTGTTTTATATAAAGTTATTCAAATATGAACGGATACACATATTAATGTACTGAGTATTACCCTATTGAATCATAAAATAACTATAGTAATTAAGATTTTAAAGAAACGATCGATTTGGTAATATATTTAAATTTTTTGTTGTGAATATATCTCAATAAAAATATTTTCTGGATCTATCACAATTAAGACTAAAAAATCTATAAATAACTAAATATAAACAATTAAGTTAGATTTAGGATCGGTTCCTATAATAGAAGATGATAGTTAAGACTATTTTCGTGATTATATAGCATTGGCATTGATATTATATATTCAAATATATTTTTGGGATTTGATAAGGCATTGCCGTGTTCAATATATGTATTAGGATTACCCATTATTGCAATTTCTAAATATATTAATGCGAGTATGTGTAAATAAATCAGATATTTCTTTAATTGGAGAGAAAACCCAGTTGGACTTTCTGTCCGAAATAGAAGCCCCCAACGGTAATAACACAACGGCAGCCTGTACAGTGCAAAGTGCAAACCCATACTCGACCGTTACCCCGAACCTGAATTTAAATACCCCTTCCCTCCCTCACTCTCTCCTCTGTCTCTCTCTCCTTCTTTCTCTCTCTCTGGGTTTCAACAATGGCGACGAAGCTGATAAAGAGGACGCCGAAGCCGATTAAGCGCCATCACCGTCATTACCTCCGCCGCCACCACCACCGGAGAGGCCACAGCCACCACCAGGCGAGATGCACTCCGGCGGCGGCGACCACCGTCATCTCCTCCATCAACAGCTCCTTCTACAAATGCCACAGCCTCCTCCTCCGCCTCCTCTCTCGTCTCGATTCCCTCAGCTGCCGGAGCAATTGCAGCACAATGGGCTTCCAAATCCTCAAAACCCGCATCGACCCAGTTCCCAAGTCCCTCCCTTTCCACGCCCTGCTCTCTCTCCTCGACGAAGACGACAACAAACCCGAAGATTCTAGGAAGAAGACGGTTGTTTTGGATCTGGACGAGACTCTGGTCCACTCGTCGATGGAGAGACCGGAGGGTCCGTACGATTTCGTGGTGAGGCCGACAATCGACGGCCAGATCATGAAGTTCTTCGTGATCAAACGGCCAGGAGTGGACGAGTTCTTGAGGAAGATGGGGGAAAAGTACAGGGTGGTGGTGTTCACGGCCGGAATGCGGGAATACGCATCGCTCGTGCTGGACCATCTGGATCCGGGCAGGGGTCTGATCTCTCACCGCCTCTACAGAGACGCTTGCTGTGAAGTAGAGGGGAGGCTTGTGAAGGATCTTGGGCGCGTGGTGAAGGACATGGGGCGCGTGGTCATTGTGGATGACAACCCAAACTCGTACTCTCTTCAGCCAGACAACGCCTTTCCGATAAAGCCGTTCATAGATGATCCGGAGGATGTCGAGCTGCGGAAGGTCGGTGAGTTTTTCGACGCTTGTGATGGGTTTGATGACATGAGAGTTGCTCTGAAGCAGCTCGTTGGCAGAGATGAATGATCTGATGATTTGATTTCAATGTGTGTTATTAGTTTGATGTGTGAGCGAGGGAGAGTGGAGAGAGATTCAGATGACGGGGTTTTTTTTGGGGCATTGAACAATAGATTTGGTTGTTCAATGCTTTGTTTAGCCTCCTCCAGCAAATCAATTTGCTGATTAGTTTTCTCTTTGTTTTGTTTGAGATTTCACTTCTCGATTCAAAGTTGTTAATAAAGTTTGAAAATGACCAAGTTTCCAAATATTCATATGTAACCCCAATTCGGAATCCGTTTCCCTTGGGAATGCACTGAACAAATGACAAACAATTTTGTAAAGGAAATGCGGAGATTTTCACAAAAGTAATGAACTTTAAACCACAAAACATTCAGGGGTTCCTCTAATCATATGAGTAATTGAACAGCCAAATCCTCTCTACCTACAACTCGGGACAAAAGCCAAAAACGAAGAAAAACAGCTCAAAAGAACTCAATGGCAACGTTTTCTCCTTTCTCCTTTTCTCTTCTTTCACACCTCAACACCGAATAAACCGACAAAGATAACCGATGAATAAGTAAGTCCTTGGGAGAAAACAGAACACCGGAGTTGAAGCTAGTGCTTAGAAAGTATATATCTCACCTGGTTCTTGAGTTGCCAAGAGTGAGCTCTAGATCGTCTGGTGCGCATTCCTCGTGTATCCTTTCCCCTTCCCAAGGCTTAACCAGCCCTGTTGTTCTAGGGTTGCACCCGAACGCAAACTCGACCGCCATCCCATCTGCCATTGGGACATCGGCTGTTTGATCAGCACCAGCAGGGATGGCAGGGGAACAGTTCCCACTCTGGCCCGGTGTCCACATTGGAGAACAGTCTCTGGCCTTAAAGGCCTCTTTCTCGAAAAACGGGTTACGAGAGACTAAGCTGAATGTCGGAGAGGAAGGACCGCTCTGTGGGGTCTGCATCCCCGAGAGCCATCCAGAGTCAGGAATGTTTACTTGACAACGAGTAGGGCTTCCAGCCATAGGTGATGCTAGGGGTGGAGTGACAGGAGCACTGATCGAGCTGCCATGGAAGAAAGGGAGTTTGGTCGGAGAGTTGGAGGAGAGGTTCTTGAGCCATGGAATCAGTGAGTTGGCATCGCCAAACGGGTTCGTAGAGGAAGGGTAATGAGATGCCCGGGGGCTCGGGAAAGATGAAGACGAAGGGCTCGGATTGTAGGAGGCACGTGGGCTGGGTTGATAGGAAGAGCAAGGGCTGGCCGATGTAGAGCCACCAATGATATCCATTCGATTGACTGGTTTGCATCCCTGAAAAGAAGATGTGCAGGAAGTGTAAGAATTACAACACCAGAACCTGACATTTCCATTGAAAAGGATAACACATTGACCATGAAAACAAAAATATTCAAAGGGATTCTTCCAAAACTGCACATGGTTTGGATGCCTATAAACAATATCAAGTACAAGCCACTGTTCAGTACACATGCTCCAAAATATATCCAGTACAGACCAAATGCTGCAGAATATGAACAAAAAGGTTCCATATCAATCTTGAATCTAATTCAACTACAAAATCCAAAGGCTGTTAGCTCATGTTACTGGGTCCTTTTAATCTTTAGGAAAATAAGCAAGGAAGAAGATTATTCCCTCACGGGATCCAAATTGAAACTATGATTGAAAATCCCAAAGCCCTCAGGGAGTGAACAGGGAAAAAGTAAGAGGAATGATTTCTTTGGCATTTAGTGGTCAAAGGGGCGACATCCCATTCTCTCCCCACACTAGCAAAAGCAAACATCATTAGGTATCCCATTTAGCAAAAGGGCAATCATTTTCCAGTCTCTCTCTTTGACCAACTAACTCGTGTAATGCCAATATAGTAATTTAGCTCCGACAAGAACTCATTGCAACGAAAGAGATCCCACGGGCCAAAGGATCATGGAGAGTCGCGTCGCAATGTAGCACACAAAACACACACATACACACGTAGAATCCAAGGCTCTTCTTTTTCCTTTTTAACTTTTTCTTTAGAATTTCCCCGAGCAAAACCAACTTTTTCCTAGTGAATTCACCGCTCCATCAATGCCAATGTCGTGCCTTTCTTTTTCCCTTTTGAAGTGTAAAGAACCCAAATTTGGGTTACTTGCAACTGGTTAAGGCTCAGCATATGCAAGATTCCATGTGAAAATGAAAGTACGAAGCTTTGACAGCAAGAAACCAGACAAGAGGTTTACCGAATTCTTCCGAGAAAAAACGAAGAACAACCTCAGTAAATAAAAAAGAAACAGAAGTGAAAAGGAACTCTCTTGAGATTTTTTTTTATTTTTTTTTTTTGAGGTAGAAGAAAAGGAAAAATGGGACATTTTCAGAGAAGGGGTCAGCCTGAAAAGGGAAAACCCATGTGACGAGAAAGTCCTCGGTTGTTGTACTTGTTGAAATAGGAAAATAAATATGTGATTGAAGGAAATATTGATTTTAAGATATGATTAGAAATAATAATGGACATAATATTATATCAAATATTGTGTATCGATCTTATTTATTTCTATTTCCTTTTTATTTGTCTCATAGTTTTCCTATAAATATGTGAGTCATTTTCATTGTAATTCAACAAGAAGAAGAGATGTAGCAATAAAAGTAATTCTGTTCTTTTCTATTTGTCTTATTTTATTTCCGCATTTTATTTTTCTACATGGTATCAGAGCCTGATTCGATTTGCTCTATATCTTTTTTTTATCAATCTCTTTTTTTTTTTTTAGTTTTGGATATTCATATATCCAAATCGTTCAAAGAAGAGTAAAAACCCAAAATCAAACGAGTTGCTATGACAAAAAGAAGTCAAACCTAAAAACTCTAAGATCAAGCGAGGTGCTATGACAAAAAGAGTTAAAGGTAGAACTTCAAAGTCAAGCGAAGTGATTTGAAAATGGGTAATACTCTCTAAAAGAACTAAATTTGGTGTTTATGAATTTTTCAAAAGACAATGAAAATATCTATGGGTTTTTATCGCATTATCTTTTCAAGATTGATTTTTGCATTCTTTCAAAATCAATCTTGAGGGGGAATGTTGAAATAGGAAAATAAATATGTGATTGAAGGAAATATTGATTTTAAGATATGATTAGAAATAATAATGGACATAATATTATATCAAATATTGTGTATCGATCTTATTTATTTCTATTTCCTTTTTATTTGTCTCATAGTTTTCCTATAAATATGTGAGTCATTTTCATTGTAATTCAACAAGAAGAAGAGATGTAGCAATAAAAGTAATTCTGTTCTTTTCTATTTGTCTTATTTTATTTCCGCATTTTATTTTTCTACAGTACTCAGGAATCCAACCCCATTGCCGATCGCAGTTTCGTGAAACAGACGTGACTTTAAGTCTATACACTAAAAAAAACTCTTTTTTTTCACGAGAAATGCTTCCCGGTACACGAAACTGCTCAATCAAACCCTAAAAAGAAAAAAGAGAGGGAGGGAGAGAGAACTCATTGCGAGGAAAAACCGTCGAAATGACGCTAATGCCCAGGTCAGACATGGTCAGACATCCATGATTAGCAAAGGGCATAATGGTAATTAATAAAAGCTCTGAAAGTACTCAGAGAAAGAGAGAGATCGTCGAAGCATCAGCAGATCTTACGCTTCACGCTTTTCACTTCGCCGGAGACGGTTGCGATCTGACGTTCGTCATCAACACCCAGTCTCCGAAACGAAATCGCAACCGTCCGATTCTTCACAACCATTTTTTTAGAAAAAAAACTCGAATGCTCAGATCTAGACACTGCAGAATTGCCCAATAATCTCGGAGAGTATTTTACCTTCCGGTACGTGGTACCGTCTTCTTCGACGGTCCAACCAGCTTCTTTGCAGAGTGCTTTGAGGACTTCGTTGTTATCGCAGTGTTTGGGAAGCTTGTAGTTACCGTACATCCGGAGTCCGGCGAAGATCTTCGCCGCGATCGCTCTCCTCCGCCGCTCCCTCCGCTTGTTGTTCTCCCTCTCCTTCCACGTCGGCGTCCTAGTCCCCGACGTCATCTTTCACCTCGCCGTCCGGAGTAGAGAGGCCGATTTCTCTCCGGAGTGGGAGATTTTGGCGGTATTCTTCTTCCTTTCTCTGTTTCGGTTTTTCCCCGAGGTTTCTGTTTCTTAGTTTTTTTTTTCTCGTTGTCATTAATTAATAAACGGGTGAGACTACCAAATGACGAAACCATCCCTGGTATATGTAGTAATATACGATACTACCACTGGAGGAGCTTTATATCCTGGGTAGTGTTAACACGTGTTCAGGCTTTTAATAAAGCTGAAAATCTGTTTGCCTTAAAACGATGCCGTTTTCAAGGTTTTTCCCATTTAAGCTTTTACGTTTTATTCCAATAATCTGATATATTGCATATCAATATTCTATCTGTTACCACTAATAGTGAAATGATATTATATAAATATTAGGATGTCAAAAGCAGACTGTCCAATAAATTTGTTTTTCAAGATGTTTAATTATTATTTTTAAAATTGTTGCGTGACAGAATAAAAGCGATAAGCATGAAAATTAATTTGGGGAGGCCGAAAAGTCTAAATGATGGGGCTGTCCGCCTCGGTCTGACCCTTGCTTTTGTTTCTTACACATGTAGCCTTAATTACAAGTAATAATCATAATAATAATAATAATAATAATCACACACACATATATATATATATAATCATATATGTTTCAATTCACACTGTTTAAAGTTTTTTAAACGTTTAGCCTTTGTTGATTTAAGGGTTTCTTTTATTTATATATTTTACGTCAAAGTATTAGCTATAGATCGTTTGGATAGCAATTTAAATCGTGGATTAGTTTAGTGATAAAGTCAAATAATTTAATCTAACCACTTAGCGCGAAACGGCCCCGACACGTGCGCCACTACCCGGCCCAAAACCCGACCCTGTTACACTCGAGATGTTCACATTTAAAAAATAATAATATTTTCGCACCATTTTCATACGTGGTTTAACTATATAAATAATTTGTATTTTAATTATGTATGTTTAGGAATAATTGAGTAATAGGGAGATTAAATGGTTGGTTAATTAATGGTAGGCTCCAGATTACGTGGCAGAGATTGCGGCATCTTCAGGAACGTGACAGGTGACCTTTTGTGGGATACGTGGGGCCCATGCATTGTCTACGTCCAATCATGACCGTTAATCTGGTGGATCAGGTCTCATCATTATTATTTAATTATTAATTAATTTTAAAAAGGCTCGCTCAGTTACAATGAAACTATAAAATGATTCTTATTATAGATTGCATGGTTATTTTATTTTTGTGTTTAGAGACGATGTTGAAAAACTTGTTCAAGAAATATAATGATAGGGTTTGCTTGACAATTACATTTATTTCATTGACGATGGGGAGAATTTGAACAAAACCATCATCAAATTAATTGAGAAAATGATCCAAATTTAGGTGGTCTAGTGGTGAGAGAACATACAAAGTATGCTCTCACCCTGGGTTCAAACCCAAGCATGGGGAGAGGCATTCACATGGGCTTCTCCGATCTTCTGGGAGATGTAGTCGGGTCAAATGTTCGGTGAACTTCCGAATTATCAAAAAAAAAATTAATTGAGAAAATAACTAATTTTTTTTAATTAGGTGTTTGATGCATTGAATTGTAATGATAATATTTTGAATTTAAGACAAATAATGTGAAATAAAATAAAGCTTCTGTTACGCTCCGAAATTAATCTGAATTTTGGTCTATAATATCTGATTACAAAAAAAAATATGGCGAATAAGAAATACGAATATGATAATGTTTTTTTGTTTATTTATATGATGGATTATTCAAACTATATTTTTGGCGATCTCATCGAATCCGGCGAGATGAGACACCAAACATATCACAGACTCATATATATTGAGATAACATAACATATCATAATATCATATGGTTTGTCTACGTAAATTTAATCGCCATTATTTCACGTATATATAGTCCGATAATTTATTTTTCATGAAATTAGATGTTTGTCTCCAAATTTATATGGTCCAAAGAAAAGTTTGTATTTGATTTTAGCTTATGAGTCCAATACCCATATTTAGAGATTCAAAAGTCAAACTTTTTATTTGATCAACAGAAATGAAACGTTGGCAATTCATTGTATTTTATTTTTTTGTAAAAGCCAAATCATTGTATTTGACAACATTTTTTCAATGAATTGGATCGTAATTAAGATTCGTCCATCGTTGTTGGTAATGAAAATATGGTATTAGTAACGTGTATATATATATTGTCACCTTTAACGCGTTTTTTAGTGTGATTAAAGTTTTGATGTCTACGTCCATTTGATATATTGATTTTAAGCCGCATTTTTCAATTCAATTTTATAGTTTATACAGCTCTGTAATTATAACCATATACTTGGATATTTAAATATTATTGGAAATCAGTTACATTAAATAATCACAAGAAGCAATATGAAGCATAAACCGATTATGATAAACATTTAAATTATTGGAGATTAGAAAGGTGTAGTAGACTCTAGTTATTATTGACAACTAATTTTGTAAAGCCGCACCAAAAGGTCAAATGACAACACATTCGAATAAATAAAAATAAGTTAAGTATATAACAGCATCTCGTTGTATTTTCCTTTTAAATGTATCCTGAAATAACAAATAGCAAGTTTAAAATGGGTGAAACCCTTTTCTGATTGGTGGAAAAATTCGTTTAAAATTAGGAAATTTGTCAAAAGTATTTCTATTTGTTCATATTATTTACGGGTTTCTTCTGTTATATTAAATTGTTATTCTATAATTTATGAATAATAAAAAAAAAGGCTGTGTGAGGGGATAATGGTAATAATAATACCACCAAACCCCATAAAACCCAACCTTGTGTTTTGTACAAACAGTTGTGTTGTTTTCAGCAAAATCTTTGCACGCTTCAAACTTGGAAACACAACCAGAATCTCTCCCCAGGAATTGTCGGAAATGGAGCTCTGGTCTTCGTCTTCTTCATGATTCTGCCAACTTTGTTTAAACCTTGTTTGGTAAGCGCTTGGATCGTCAATACTGATGAACTCGTTTCCTTTGCCTTGACGATTCTTCCGACGCCGGGTCAATCGGCTCGTTTACTTTTCCTGGTCTTCCCCTGTTTGATTCATTCGATACTTCTGTTCCTGTAACAGGACAAGCAAATCATTGTCTGCTTTGAATTCTCCGCTCTCCTACTTGATTTAAATTCCGAAGCTTCTGGATCCGGTGGTGTCGTTCTTCCTTTTTCCTGATTCGGTGGGATTTAATGCGAAAAGGGCACTGGTTTCGTTGAATTTGGGTGGAATCATTGGGGGGTTTTGGTTAGGGTTTTTTGGTTGGGGCTTTGTTTTGGTTGGTTTGATCGGCTTCACCTTCAGGCAATGCGTGTTAAAGTCGGAATCTTTCGGTGAGAATTCTGGGTTTTCTGAATAGGGCTTTTGCGTGATCGATTTCATCAGGCTGCGGTAAGAATCCCTGGGAACGAATCCCTCGGATTCGTCGGATCGACCTGGTCGAAGTTTTCTTCCGTTGGATCAAGGATTCTCAAATTCTGCTTTCTGGGTTTGATCCAATCTTTTTTTAGTATCCTTCTCGGAGTTCTTGAGGAATTTCCCGAGAGTTTTGGATTTGAAGTTTCGGAGAATGGATGAGAATCAGGGAGGTTCGAGCTCACTGCCTCCTTTCCTTGCAAAAACATATGAGATGGTGGATGATCCTTCCACGGATTCTGTCGTTTCTTGGAGCCAGGGCAACAAAAGTTTTGTCGTCTGGAATCCGCCCGAGTTTTCCAGAGATCTTCTTCCCAGATTCTTCAAGCACAACAATTTCTCGAGTTTCATCCGTCAGCTTAATACATATGTAAGTTGTTGCTTTTTTACCTTGCCAGTTTGGGAGTAGTTCTGTTGTCTTGTCCTAACCTTGCATCTCCTTTCGCAGGGTTTTAGAAAAATCGACCCCGAGAAATGGGAATTCGCCAACAATGATTTCGTACGTGGTCAGCCGCATCTTTTGAAGAACATTCACAGACGCAAACCAGTTCACAGCCACTCCTTGCACAACCTGCAAGGCCAGAATCCTCTGGCTGAGTCAGAGAGACAGAGCATGAAGGATCAGATCGAGAGGCTGACGAAAGAGAAGGAGGGCCTGCTCGCTGAGTTACATAAACAGGAGCAGGAACGGCAAGGCTTTGAGTTGCAAGTAAAGCTTCTGAAGGACCGGTTGCAACACTTGGAGCAGCTTCAGAAAACAATGGTGTCATCTGTTGCTCAGGTTCTGCAAAAACCAGGGCTTGCTTTGAAACTTTCACCAAAATCCGAAACAAATGACCGAAAAAGAAGGCTCCCCAGGATCGGGTACTTTCAGGACGAAACGGGTTTGGAAGAGAACCAAACTTGTAATTCCCAAAGAATTGGCAGAGAAAACTCTCCTGGCCCATCACACGCCGAGCAGGTTGAGCAATTAGAATCGTCTCTAGCCTTTTGGGAGAATCTTGTATCGGATGTTGATGGCAGTCTTGCCCAGTCAAGCATGAACCTTGAGGTTGACGAATCTACTAGTTGCGCGGAAAGCCCGTCTATATCTTGCTTAGAGCTAAACATCGATGCCCGTCCAAAATCTCCGAGGATTGACATGAACTCCGAGCCTGTTGCTTCGAAAGAACAACCGGCTGCTCCTCCAACTGGGGTTAATGATGTCTTCTGGGAGCAGTTTCTGACAGAGAACCCAGGTTCCACCGAGCAGCAGGAAGTTCAGTCAGAGAGGAAGGACGCGGAAGCGAAGAAGGACGGAAACAACGGTAGTAAGACGAGCGATCATGGGAAGTTTTGGTGGAATCCGAGGAATGTACATACCCTTACCGAACAGATGGGGCATCTGACTTCTGCAGAGAGAACTTGATATTAGTTTCTCAGGTGTCGGTGTTCTTCCATGCCCCTGTAACGCAAGCATAGCGCATTTAGGTGCGATTCTTACCTTGTTTCTGTGATGAAGTAGGTTCCTTTTTTCCGGTTTTTAGTTCACGACATACATGTTGGGTCTAGTGCCTGCTGCCCTCCATCATCTCTCTGTTTCTCTCAATCTATACTATAGCAGACTGTAACATACTCATGTATCAGGCCTGATCTTAATAGATTGACTTTCATTCATTATGATACAGAATTTGCCCTTACAGTGATGGGATCAGACCAAAGCTTCATTGATGATAAGACTTCAAATGAAAACTGCCCTTTGAGAATATTTGGTTGCAAATACTCTGTTTTCGGACTTTGATTATACAGAGCTGAAAACTGCTTGTCGTGAACATGGCTTATCCTTGAGACACAGCAAATTAGGAAATTGGGCATTGCTTTTTTTTTTTTTTTAAGAAAGCAAAAGGGTTCTAAATTCGGTCAATCTTCTGTTTGTGGAGAAGAAGGTTTGCTTTAATTTAAGCCTAAACCCAGAAATGAATAGAGTTCGAACCTACACCAATGACATATATATATAACACTACGATTCTGTTGAAAGACAAAAGCAGCGTGTGAGTGCGATGCAGACAGAGAAGCTTTCATCTAGAAACCGTGGAACTCGTCGACAGACATTGTCCACATGAGACCAGCTTCATCAACGCATTTGTCTGTGCCCTTCTTCTTCTTCTCACCTTCAACCTCGATATCTACAGATTTTGTCCAAAAAAAAAAAACGAATCTTTTCGTCAAGAAACAACCAAAGTAGAGATTTTTCGCAAGGATCGAGTTTTGGGTCGAGGAGGGCTGGCGTTAGTTACCTTGCGACGGGTGGCTCTTGAAGCTTTCCAACACAGCAAGCTTCTCGATCTTGGTTCCAGTCTCCTGTCATAATAATCATTCAACATGATCATCCAATGATCATTGCATGCTTTTTATTTTATATGAACCGATGTTTTAAATTCTTACAGATTCTCTTGTTCGAGCTTCTCAGCGATGGACATGGCATTGCGTTTAGACCAGCCGCCGTTCTGTCGGGTGCACCCCTCGGCCCGCTGAATCACGTTAGCCAGCGACACCTTCCCCCTCACTATGCTCTGGCTCGCTTCCAAGTGTCTCCTCCTCGCTCTCGTCGTCGCACACGATGAGGTCGCCACCCGTGTATTCTCCCTCTGGCTTCGGCCTTGTCCCGGTGACTCGGCCACTTCCACGATCTCGCTTCTTCCACTCTTGAAATCTTGGCCATCTTTGACCGGCGGTGGTAGGCTCAGTGGTTTCCGGTCAGACCCGTTGGTTCTCGATTCTTTCCTCGCCTCGTTCCTGATCTCTATTGTGACCGGAGATCCAAGAACCGCCTCGAACGCCTGCAAGATATGGCCTCGGAATTTCTCTGCAGTTGACTTCGTCAATGGCGAGCTGAACGTTAATTGCACTGTAGGAGCTGGCAAAACGAGAAAGCAAAACAAATCAGAAATGGAAAACGGCAACGGCCCATAAACCAATGACAGTAACTGCAACTGATATCTGATCATTCAGCCATGAATGCATCTTGACAGGTATATATGTGTATGTGTGTATATATATGTACCTGCGCCGAGACTGACAGAGACGATCTTTCCTTCTTTGTAAAGAAACTCTCTCAAACCGTTAACTTGAATCTTCTCGATGACCTCTAACCAAATTTCTTCAACCGCCGGTCGGTTTTTACCGCCTGAACTTTGTCTAACTTTGGTGCCAACAGATTCACGAATCGGTCCCAACCCTCCAGAACCCGTGTCTCGTCTTCTATCAATACCGAAACTTTTCCCGGTAGCGTCACCCGATGGACCCAGACGATGATCAGAAGCCTCTCTCCTTCCCATAAAATCTAGGGCTAACGGGCTACTACGGTTAAGGCCAGTATCTGAAGGAGAAGTAGGTAGCAAGTACTGCGGATCGGGAGCCAGCTGAAGCAATGCAGCCGTCAACCATGTTGGTTTATCGTTCGACACTCTAAGTTGCTTTTCTGCTTCGGATAACGTCTTCAGGGCTTGCCTCAGTTTCTCCATATCTTCTTTCGACACTATGAAAAGTTCAAGGAAAAACCCGAAAGCTCAGTTATTAGAATAATAAAGCAGTGCTTATTTCCTGTAATGTTCAATACTCACGTGGCTGTCGGCGGAAGAATTTCCTTCTGTGTCGATCTTTAGCGAAATCATAGCTACCCGCGAGAATATCGGTAATGATGGTTGCAAGCTGTGACATTAAAGCCAAGGGTTCCACACCGGTTTCCATTATTATTCTGAGGTTCTTCACGGTGTTTACTGTATCAGCGGATAGAGCTAAATCGAGAAGATCCACTAATTTCTCGTCGGAAATGAGTCCGGCCTGAAAAAACGGGAATGAAATCTCAATCAGAAGAGGTAAAAAAACGATAAATTGAATTGTAACGATACTATACTCACCAATTCTTGAACCAAAGGGACAGAGATCCTCTGACCGAGCAAACTCAGTTGTTCGAGAGTCATCTCTGCATCCCTTAACGACCCGTCTGATCTCGAAGCGATGAGTTTTAGAGCGTCTTTCTCGATCTCAACGCCTTCCTTTGATGCGATCCATTGCAAGGTGTTGATAATATCGGCATCCTTCAGTTTGGGGAAAAAGAATTTCTGGCACCTTGAAATGATCATGTGTGGCAAAACATCGAGACTCGAACACACGAGGATAAAAACCACGGATCGAGGAGCCCGGTCCACGACTTTGGAGACCGCACTCCAGCAATCGGGTGAAAGGGTATCGCAATCGTCGAATATGAAAACCCGGTACTGCATAGGTAGATGGGAGATTGTCATATTATCGAGCAAATCCATGATACCCTCGAAGTCGAAATTCCCGACAGGACCTACTTCCCGAATGTTTCGGCTCTTACCCGAATCATGGGAAACACAAGAACTGCAGAAACAGCAAGGCTTAGGATGTTCTGAAGACTGACAGTTCAAAGCCTTAGCGAGTATCCGAGCACAAGAAGTCTTCCCCGTCCCGTGTGGGCCATGGAATACATATAAAAGGCCGACCTTCCGCCTCGAAACTGCATTGGAAAGAGCTTGTACCACCAGATTCTGTCCCACGAGATCCCGGAAGGTTCTCGGCATGTACTTTTGCGTGAGACTATGGTGGTGCTGCCGAGCGTTTCTACGGCTGTTTTTCCTTTGCTCGCCAGACCTTGCTTCTGAAGAAAGGTCGGAATCGTATTTCTTGAGAAGATTGTCGGCGAAAATCCCCAACTCACCCGAATAGTCATGAACCCAACCGTCATTATCAGCGCTATCGACAAGAAGAGGCAGAGCCTCATCGGCATCAGACTTGGTGAAGGAGCTCGTGTCATCGGAATGCATCATCGGCATATCGGCATTGGACTCACCTTTCCTCATTCTTGAATCAGACATACCACAAGAGAAACTCCGACCAGCCATATCGAGAAATGTTTTCCCCCTGTGATGAATCCTTGACCAATTAAACGGAATTCCGCAACCCTTTTGAGGAGCCCTAGCCATGTTCTTCTGCTCTCCATATTCCTCTCCTTCCTCGTTTTCCATCTCGTACTTCTCCCGGCCTGAACCTCGAGACAGTTGGTTCGAAGCAACAGACATCTCGCTCTTACCCACATTGTCGGTAATGGCATTCCGACCTCTCCTCGTCCCTCGAAATTTCCGCCTTTTAGACCGAGTTGCTCCACCCGAGCAGCCACGATTAGTCCCGTCTCCTCCATATCTAACACGTGGACGAACATTCGACGAGACCACGACATCATCATCATCACTGTCACCCCGAACCTGGTTCAACTGGTCCGAGAGAGTCTTGACTTGACCATGGTCGTGCCTACTAACCCTTCCACTAGTTTTGCTTCCTCTATCCTTCGATCCCGAGTTCCCGGAAGCAGCAACACCATGGAAATCGTTCAAGTTCTGATCTTTCAGCAATGAATCCTCAACTCTGTAACTCTTCCTACTCGATTCCTCCCTCTTCACTCTTCTACTACCTTCCCTAACTCCACTCTCGCTACTCGGCTCGTTAACTGGGCCAGTCCCATCAAACCCTTCTTCAGAGGGAGTCACTTTGGATGTTCCAAAGTTCACAACAGGCGGAGAACTGCCCAAACCCGACAACCTACGACTGGACTTCCTCCCGACACTCTGGTCAACGGATCTTCTTCCCTCTCGGATCCCCAAATCCTTACTGTCCCCTTTCTTGGGAAGCAAATCGACGACAGAAGGGGAATGCCAAGCAGGAGGACTTGCAGAGGGATCCCTAAGCGAGCGCGATCTCTGAAGAACGATGAGGTCCCTCATAAGAGCACGATCGGCCAAAGCCGGACTCTGCTTATGCATATGGTTTTTCAAGTGAATGCAGTTGGTCAAATGGATGTGGTTTCGAAGATGATCGCCAATGTCTCCATTTGAATCCTTCAGAATCCGATTCCGACCAGCCCTTGTCATTATCACCACACTCTCCCTCTTGCCTCCTCCCCCGGAATCCTGTATGAGTTTCTATAAAGGATCCGAATCGAATCGTATATCATTTTCCTCCGGAAATCTCTGCTCGAATCCTCCTAAAACCTTTCCAAATCTGCAATACTTTTACTCCTTCGACTGTAACCCTAATTCCCCAGGATCCACAGAACACAAAATTGACCTCTTTATATCTTACCTCAAGAGCCAGAAGCTAACAGACAATTATGCCCAACACGAATCTGAAGAGCTGCTCCAAAAAAGTTATCAAATTAATCGGAAAATCGGAGAAATTCGAGAACCCTTATGAACAGAAATGGAATTTTTCACGCTCTGCGAGCTTAAGGAAGCTTCTCAATCGCCCGAGAAAACTGCTCATCTGCTTCGAATTGAAACCAAATGTTTACAGAAACTGCGAATCAAAGAGCAAACCCAGAAGCCGAAACCTCAAAACTCTGCCTCTTAGTCACGAAAGATGAGAGCTTTCCGATGAAAAGATGGCAAGAAAACTTCAGAGTTCGATTAAGAGGAGCGAAAAAGGCAAAGTGGGGAGTTGGGTTAGTAAATCTCATCCACAGGGAGAAGAGAGAAGGAGACCACGAAAAGGGCCAAAAAAGAACGGCAACATTTTGAAAGCGATCACAGATCTCTTCCCTTTCTCACCAAACTTTCACATGCAACTTCGCAGAACCTGGGGGTTCTGGAGAAAACGATGGCTGGTAAGAAATCCCCATTCTCGAACAGAGGGTTTTGAGGTTTTTTTTACTGTCTAGAGAGAGAAAGAGTGGAATCTTGAGAGGAGAGAGAGAGAGATCTGTACAGACACGAAAACAGAGGCATCTGAGAGAACAAGACACAGTACCAATAAAGCGGTGTGTCCGTTTGCGGTGGGAGCATGCATGAAAAAAAGAAAATTAAATAATCATATATAGTTAATCAAAATATTTGTATTTTCCAATATAAATTAATAAAAAGTTTCTTAATTTCAACCTTTGAATTTCTTGAGAGGAAGAGACCAAACAAAAAGTTTAAACCTTTGAATTCTGCTGCTCGTTTGGTTTCTGTACGGATTTGAAAACTAGTCGTTGGCATTAATGTATATCCTCATTGTTCTCCAATTTGATTGGCCAACGGCCGTTTGAATATATAACTTTGTAATATCCATTTGTTTTAAATTTGTTGTTATGTTTTAATTGTGATTATTATATGACTTATATAACTTGCCAAAAAGATTTTTTTTTTTCATTATGTGATGTGATTCATATGAAATACTGTAAATTATACGTTTCAAAGTTTTTTTTAACACGAAATTGTTCAAATTTGTGACATTATTGTTCATAAAATTATGCAAGAGTAGGTGTATAAATGAATGGTTGGTTAACTATCACAATCTATAAGTGAGAATTCCATGCATGTGGGCAGAAGCGACAAAGAACACTTCTCAAAACGATAACAGTACCCTTTTAGGTCATTTTCGCCTAATTAATATAAATTATTTCCCCCAACAACGACAGTTATATTAATATATACTGGCAAGTAGTACTAAGAAGTGCTGTGATTATGATTAAAAACTTGTAAATGAAAATCATCATAAGTATCCCAAAAATGCGATTTCATGAGTATATTGACGTAATTAAGGTTATAAAATGGTCGATATTTTTTTTTAAAAAAGGCACAAGACTAAGACATGTGGGACTCCATAGGATTCCCATATCCAAAATTTAATGGGAATTACCTTACCAAGAATAAAAATTAATGGAGGAGAGGATGGACCACCGGCTACCATTTTGGAGGTTAGTGCAACTATGACGGAGGCCATCACGTGTCTTTTCCCAGCCTCGTGAGACATCCATTATGTACATACGTATACACACACACACATGCATACGTATAATCGTGTATCCACCGTTACAGATTGAACTGGTCATTAATGCGAAGCTTTTCTACGCCTTGACGTTAGAAAAAGAAAATGAAAATTGAAGAGGTCCAAAAATAACGAGTATATGATTATTATTTTGTGGTATATTGCGGTAGAGAGGGGTACGTAGTGTAAATACACACGACAAAACAAGCAAAAACAACAATATATATATATCATATGTAATAATTAGATATGAAACTCGAGTTGCAGACTTAATTAAGCAGGTTGGACTTTATCACCAACTTACGCATTTAATTTCTTATCTATGATAAAAAAAAAAGAATTATCATTAATATTCATGTGCCTATAGTAACAATCTTTTTTTTTTGATAATATTTGCCCCAAGTGGTATAGTAGGAGTGGTATACATGGAGCGTGTAACAAAAATTCCGAACGTAATCTTATAAACAAAAACTCCGAACGTAGTACACCTCAGAGCACTCATCGTGGAACGTCGTGTGTGTGTGTACATATACACGCATATGACCATTTCTCCATATTTTGGGACCAAAGGGCATGCATAATAAGGAAAACATTGGATGGTCCCATACATACTATATGGTCTGTCTTGTAACCCAATGAGGCAAATGTTTTTTGATCTATAATGTGTTTCTTTTTGTAACCCTTTTAGCATACTTTTATATATATATATTCCAAACACTAATGTAACACATGGGAAAGTCAAAGTCAAATCGTTGCAATGAAATGCTTGGTCTTTTGTTTTTGGACCAGGTACATATGTCATATATTTTTTTTTTAAATAAAATAAAACCAAAGTGTAGGGAAAAAAGGTCCAAACAGAAATATATGGTGGGTTTAATTAATTACATGCTTATAGTCTAATTACATAAAAAGAAGTAAATGATGGGCTGGGTTTAGATAGGCATAGATAGAGTGGTGTGAGGACTGACCGAATCTGAGTTTTTTTTGAGTTTGATGGTTTCCGAGCTTTCAGTTCAGAGTGGATGCAATCATTTCTCTCTCTGCATCGTTAGACCAATGCTTGCTTAGACCCTGTGTCATCTTTTTCTCAACACTTTTTGCTTTTATAGTTCACAGATGGATTATCACGTGTCACTTTGCGGCGCACTTTAATTCACGCCGGCGGCAGCAATGTTCACCGCCGGCATCCAGCGACGGTGACGACACGTGGAATGGAAAAATGTGGTTTTTTCCATCCCACGCAATTTTCAATGGAGTGAAGATTATATGCATTAAAATGACAGTGAGAGGAAACCTGTCATTGCTATCCTAACGAGAAACTTACCCTCTATTGTCGGGTGTTCAGAGAGTTTTTTTTGTGTGTGTGTGTGTTGTGTTGCAAGTGGAGAATCTTAACCTAACCCCTGATCAGGTTAGAGGGCTCGCTCAGAACATAGTTGGGAAGCTCATATCTTGCGCCTCTCTCGTCGTAACATATTGTGAGGTCTCTGTTCTGGACGATCACACCCGCACTATCCACAATTGCCTGAGCCATCGTCAAATCTGCTTCAGCAGCAGCCCTCAGGGCATCCCATATCTCTGGTAACCCATAAAAACACATTTTAAATCTGTATGAGCCTATAATGAAGGTGACCAGCATGAACATGAATGGAAAAGCCAGAAAGAGACAGCTGAATTGCCCCGTTAGAGAAATCATGCAAATGGAACATATGCTATTTCAAGACATCTTCTGCATTCATTTGGGCAGTGGTTTGTATCAAGGCAAACACAAATACCTCTTTGACCGCCATAGTGCGGAGCAGTGTCCCAAAATTCTTCACGCATACTTTCAAGTCGCGTCCTAGTGATTGGCTCGGGATGTACCCACGGTTTAGGTTTCCGGATCTTAATCTTCCTCTCTGTTGATAAATCAGGACGTAATATCAATAGATAGACAGACACAGAACAAGCACATATTCCTGTTTTCCCAGATGAAGTTGTATCAATACGACAACCATTGAACGTGACAGAGAACAGGCAGCAGACAAAATATATAAGAATTCCTACATCACAGTGCAATGTAAACGATCAAGCTATCATGTGCACACGATTCAACCATCACATTGTTCCCTCATGAACAATAGAACAATGCAAAAGAAACTAACAACGTAAATGCCATTAAAGCAAGAAATGTTCATCAATGCATGACAGAAAATTAAGCATAATGTAAGACCTCAGAAAGAACAATTTGCCTCATAATTACTCCAAGAATCGCTGTACGGCAAAAGAACAACAAACGGAACCAGATTCTTAAAAATTTGACAACACATATAAAAATTTTCAGCACAATTTCAGCGATCGACACCGAATTAGATAAACCCTACGCACAAACTGAGAAATTCAAAGGAACACCAGACAAAGTTTAGAGCGAAAATCCAGGACAAGAAGCAATCCCAGTCACCTCCTCCTTCAGATTTGGCAAGGGACGAACTGATGCACCCCATTTCCGGAACAGTTGGCGTTTGACACGAAATCGAACAGCCTTCGAAAAAGAAAACGGAATGCGAGCAGAGACTCGACGGCCGGCGCCGAACGGGGACGCTCGGACGTTGTCGACTATAGCAAGGGTCTCAAAGGCTTGAAGTCAGTTGCGGCAGAGACGGTTGGAGTACCGGCATGGAGATGCGGCTGAGGAGTCAGCGAACGGACTAGAGGACTTAACCGTCTCGTCCGTTGCGACTCTGGTTCGTTGAAAGCGATAGTGACTTGGATTTATGGTGTCGTCAGCAAAATCAAACAATAAAAATAATTTTGAACATAAAATAAATGCGTCTGTAGTCCAACGGTTAGGATAATTGCCTTCCAAGCAATAGACCCGGGTTCGACTCCCGGCAGACGCAGCTTGCATTTTTTGTTGGGCCAAAGATTCGGCCCAAATCTAGAAAAGCCCAACGTTCCACCATTTTTATTCATTGGAAATTTCTTCTGTTTTTTTTTATAATTATTTTAAACAGAATCGAAATGATTTCAGATATCTTCTGTGTATATATATACAATCTTCTTCTTTTTTTTTTTCCTTCTATTCGGATATATAGAGAAAAAAAATGAAACATCAGAATCTACATCTACAATATATGGAAACAAGATAATTTATATAGGAAAAAAGAATATAGTTGTGTGTTTATGTAATCATTTTATTTTCTCTTTCTATAAACGCATTTGGAAGAATCTTCTACTTTGTATATTATTATTTGAGCTACTTTTTTCGCAATTTGAGTTAAGATTATGTATCCAAAATTTATCTATATTGTATATTTGATTTTTTCTCAATATTAGGATTCGGTAGCATTAAAATGTGGAATGCTTGATTTATTTTATTTTTTCCCGAATTTTAGGATTTTCTAATAAATATTGAATCAAACAAAAATTAATAGTAGTTATTTTGAAAATACCTTACAGAAAAATATGATAAATGATAACTGGTTATATATATATATATATTTATATATTCTGGAACTAATAGTCTTCAATAAATTCTTAGCTTTTACCAATGTAAACATGATTACCACTACTTAAATCCCTTTTCAAAAATAAATAAATAAATGAATCTAGAAAACAAATATGAACACTTGAAGGTCGGAATTACCCCGAAATTGAACAAAGAAAAAACTGGAAACCAGAATGCTCAAGCAGGTGCTTTTGGTAAATAGCTTACCAAAAAAACACGTCTTTCCCTATGAGAGCTTTCCGATGAAAAGAAGATCGGATTCTGTTGAAAAAAAAGGGAAAATCTTGAAAAATCAAAAAAAGCGAACCCGAAGTCCTTCGGGTCCTTGAGCTAGAAATAAGCGTGAAGGGTTCCTCTTTCTCTCTTCGATTTCACGGATCGGAGAGAAATTTAGGGTTTTTACGTTGGTGGGTCGAAGTGAAGGCTTTCTCTCGAGCAGCGTTAATGGCGGGGGGCGGAGCTGATGACGACTACGACTACCTTTTCAAGGTGGTTCTGATCGGTGATTCCGGTGTGGGCAAGTCCAATCTGCTCTCGCGGTTCACCAGAAATGAGTTTAGCCTCGAGTCGAAATCCACGATCGGCGTCGAATTCGCGACTCGGAGCTTGACTGTTGACGGGAAAGTCATCAAAGCCCAGATTTGGGATACTGCTGGCCAGGAAAGGTCTGATCTCTCTTATTTCTGTTCTCATTTTCCGTAGTCACTTCTGCATTTCCGCGATCTGGGTTTTTGGTACTATTGGTTGCAGATTTAACCTGGATTTTAGGGAACTCTTCCTTGTTAAGCATACAAATTTAGGTGGGAAAGTTTGTTCCCTGTTGCTATTTCAAATCTTTCTGTGGTGGTTGAAATTTTCCTGGGTTGGGGTGGGTTTTTGAATTTCTGGCATGATTTATATGTAAATGTTCTGTCAGATTTGTAGCCGTAGAACTAAAGTTAGGGCTTTAGCTAGAATTCGTGGAAGACGAGATCTGGATCGTTTCAATTGTAGATCTGGTAGTAATTTCTGAGATGCTATGAAGTTCCAGTTTCACTCTACTTTCCAGGAATCTGGTTACAAACCTGAAAACTTTACAACTTTGCATGTTTTTTGCTGAATAACTCGTCAAGCTTCAAATGAAGCAGTTTCCTTATCTTCATCTCTATAGTTTTGGTTAAGCACCTTGCTGTTGTTTATTCTGGGATTTTGGAGTTCCTTAATCCCGATCTGTTGGTGTGGAGAGGAACTCAACTCCTAAGTCTAAAATAATCAGCTATTTCTGAGTTCTGTTGATAATTGTACGGATCATTGGTAGATTCTTTCATTTCTGGCAATCCTCCTCATCCCAAATGGAAAAGATGACAGTTACTTTGTGATTCTCTAACTGTTTTGTGGGCATTGTTGCTGTTTTTACTAGTGAATTTCTAAAGGTTGGACTAAAAGTTTCTATCATTGGTCAAATATCTAACTGGATCTTGTATTTTCCTATATTTAGCCGGTACTCTTTAGCTTCTTCTCTCAAGTTTAGAGTATGCTATTGCTTATCTGACTTTCTCTTCTACTGGGTGCTTAGTATAATACTGTTCTCAGTATTTAGTTGGTTAAAGTTGCTAGCTTTTTTAGTTTATGTATCTTTCTCATGGCAGAGGTGTTAACTAACTAGTTTTGTCTGAATCCGTAGATACCGTGCCATTACGAGCGCTTATTACCGAGGAGCTGTAGGAGCGCTTCTCGTCTACGATGTCACTCGACACTCCACCTTCGAAAACGTGGAGAGGTGGCTGAGGGAACTCCGGGACCATACCGACCCGAACATAGTAGTAATGCTTGTGGGCAACAAATCCGATCTCCGCCACCTCGTGGCCGTGCAGACAGAGGATGCTAAATCATTTTCCGAGAAAGAATCTCTCTACTTCATGGAGACCTCGGCCCTTGAATCCACCAACGTCGAGAACGCGTTCTCGGAAGTTTTAACGCAGATTTACCATATTGTGAGCAAGAAGGCGATGGAGGCCGGGGACGAGGCCGCGGCCAATGTACCTTCGAAAGGAGAGAAGATTGACGTGAGCAAAGATGTTTCTGCTGTCAAGAAAGGTGGGTGCTGCTCTAATTAGGGTTCTTGTTGGAAATGTGTTTCCGTTTTTTTTTTTTTTTGTTACACCTGCATTCAACATTCTTTGAAGGGCGACTTGGTTTAGGAACAAAGGTGTTTGCTGTGTCGTGTGTGAAGAAGATCTTTATCTTAGTTGTTGTATTCCGGTTTGATCTGATATGGTTCCGGTTAAGCCGGTTTTATCCGGTTAAGTGGATTATGTTATGTTGCCAATCTTTGTTCTCGTTGGAAATTTCCATACCTTTTAGTTGGAAATTAAAAATCCGATTTCTTTGAATATTCTATTTCCACAGGAGAAAGCGTGTTTGACCTTTCTTGATCGACCGGGAATTCTTTTTAAAAACTTACACATACATGTTTTTTTAATACATGGACGTTCTATTATATGATAAACATGGATATGAATTTTAAAATATTTTATAAAATATTTGGATTATAATAATACTCGCATTTAAACATGAGGCGCCAGTTTCATATGTGTTATTATTATGATATATAATTTGGTTAAAGGAGTCTTTCCGTGTAATAGAAGCCAGAGGCCTTTTGTATAAAAGGGACGTGTCCATTGCGAGTGAAGAATATTCGCCCACCATTCAGAAGGCGAGAGTAATTAACGGAGAGAGAATCATTCTCCGACCATCGTGTTTTCGTTTTCTCAGTCAACGACACTTCTGAAACAGAGCAGCCATAGATGGACATAGACCAGACCCTGAAGCTCTTCGATTCCGTCTGGTTCGAGACCGAAATCATCTTCAAGAACCAGACAAAACATGCCCATCAATTTCCAGAATACTCGTGGAGACACAGAGGGACTCCTTCCGGAACGACAAAAGCAGGGGAAGATGATGATGACGAAGATGACGATGACGATGATGATGGCGAACACAGGGGAGGAGAAAGCAAGGAGAGATCAAGGAAGATGAGACTGTCGGAGCTTGAACTGGAGGAGCTAAAAGGGTTTATGGATTTAGGGTTCGTATTCCCTGAGGAAGACAGAGATCCGAGATTGGTCTCTCTGATTCCCGCGCTGCAGAGACTAAGTAGAAGGAACTTAACTGACGGAGGAGATGATGACGAGTACAGAGACAGCAACCGACCGGAGGAGTCGGAGATCTCGGGGCCTTATCTGTCGGAAGCTTGGGAAGATAAAAGCAGCAAGAGAAGGAAGAAGAAGAAGAAGAAGGAGATGATGAAGAAGAGTCCATTAATGGAGTGGAGGTTTTCTGGTTGGAATCATCAGATGAATATTAAGGGTAATCTGAGATTATGGGCTTATTCCGTTGCCTCTACTGTTAGATGATCATTGCAGCTTTCACATTTAGATCGGTACATAGTTTAACTCTGTAATCTATTTTTTTTCTTTATTATATCAAAGGTGTGATCTAATTATGATAATTGTCCGTGGTTGGATTTATTCAACATATGAATTCAATTGTATTCCAATCATCTACGCAAAATGCGTGTGCGGATAAGGGCATTTTCTTTATGGTCGGTTGCTAGTGATTGACCTGCCAATAATCTTGAAAATACCCTTATTCCATTTACGACTTAATCCATTTTATATATATATATATATATATATTATAAAAAGACAAGAAATTATCGAACACGAATTTCAATCTATCGTTTGACCTCGTTATACATGAATTTTGAACTTAATAATCATCTATAATTATCCACAAGAATACGGAAAAAATAACGCCGAAGGAATATTCCGTTAAGAAAATGACGGCCAAGACACTTTCCCGCCAAGAAAATAACGCCACAAAACCTAACGACTGTGACGGAGATTCCAAACGTCCCTTGTCTCACCCGGATTTTGACAGTCGAAGACGACGCCGGCGACGGGGAATCTGTTCCCAGATCCGGTACAGAAGCTTCCCAACTTCCGATCTCCACCAGCCACCGAACCCTCAGAGACATCTCTTTTTCCTCCTTACAAACCCTTCATGGCGGTCCAAGTCCAGCTTTGTTAACTCACCACATCTTCAAGTCCTGATTAGGGTTTTCTTCCCCTTCTACGCGCCGAATCTGCAACAGCGATAATTTACCTAATTCCGGGAAATCGAAGATGATGGAGCCGGGGGTTTCGATCTGCAGCACCTGCGGCGATCAAATCGGTCTCGGAGCCAACTGGAGACTTGTTCATCGGGTCCAACAAGCGTAATTTACCGATCTGCGAGGCTTGTCTCGAGTACGAGACCAAAGAAGGTCGGAAAATCTGCCTGCGCTGTGGTAATCCCTACGACGGTAAAAAAACCTTCTCCGAGCTTATTGAAATTGCTCAACTTTGAAATTCAATTTGGTATGATCTGATCGTGATGGCTATGGGCATTCAAAGAGAACTTGTTGGATGATGCTGAAACAAGGAAGGACCTCGAGTCACCCCGGAAAACGCTCCTCTGAAAATGCTATAAATGGTTCTATATCGCCATGTGAGGGTCGCAAGTTTGATCTTAAATCTTCTCCGGCCACAGGGATGCTGAAATTCTTACTTGACATATAAGCACAGTCTCCGCAGTTGGCAGTGGTAAGAACCCCAATTCTCTCTTGTTCATTTTCTCGGATAATTTAGGGACTGCAACCATTTTATCATGGAGATCAGAAGATAGATGCCCGAATATTGATGGCAGCAAAAGAGGTTTTGCTGAAGAGGTTTAGACTATACAGACTAGGGGATGCATATGCGTGAAGAATTGAATGGTGGATATGGAAGAACAGGGTAGAGAGCCCGAAGGACAAGAAAAGCTATAAGAAGAAGAAGAAGAAGGACAAAAAGCAAAATGATGGTGAGAATGAGGCTCAGATTCTGATGTTTGATCAGAATCACGGCTTAGTTTCCAAGGCCTAGAAAACACTTGAAGAAGGATGGAACCCCGAGGCTAGGAAACAATGCCCGGGATGATTCAGGTATTGCCCATAAGTTTCTCTACCGCTAAACCAACCGAAACATAGTTTTCTTTGATGTAATTATCTCTACAAATCAAACCCATTCTTCATTCAGTACCTGTACAACTATAGGTGAATTTTGGGTTTTCAGGATCTTGGGAATCCTTTTGAATTGATTTCAGGTTAACACGAAGGGGCTTGATGGGATTCAAGAGCCTGTCCAATACACAAGAACTTTATGGTTAAACAGTCCTCCATCTAAACCTAGAAGTTAACCGGATTCTTCCTCTTCTTGATCATATGCTGATGCCCGATAAAAGAAGAAGCAGACCAGAGATCCTTTTGAGGTTTATAGAGATGCAAAGCGAGAAGAACTCGATGTTGTCATCTTAAACCTCAGAGATCTTGACAGTGAGTTGATTTTTCTAAATATTTGGAGCATTGCTATGGTTTGATCTTGAAGCAAAAGGTTTCCCTACGTGAGCCTCTTCTTTCTCCTATTATTGCTTCTTGCTTCTTGGGGACTCTCACATGGCTGCTTTTTCCACAAGTTAATGTTTTCGTGTTTATATAATATGATTGAATTCTTTCATTGAAGAAACGGAATGATATCATTTGTTACCTCGGGGTTTCATAAGGTTGATGTAATAATAATAATAAAAAAAAAGTTTCAACATCAATTAGTTAGAAAAATTGGAATAAACCAGCACATTAATTACAAAAATAGGAGAAACTTTGCCCTAAATATACACATGAGAGAGATTTATGCATATCCCCATTTATATCCCATTTCGAGGAATTTGGGGATAAAGTGATAATGGTTTTAACCTTAAACTTAATTAAAGCCAAAACTCTGATCCGAAGCTTCTAGTAGTCCCAACCAAATCTAACAAAAAATTAATTAATAATCCCCGGAGCTCCAACGGATAGATCGTATTTTGGTTAATATTTTCCCATTAATAAACAAAATTTGTACGAGGGGTAAAAGGAATTCTTTTTATAAAAGGGGCATTTACATGGTTTATTGGGTTTGCAAAAAGATATATTCTTCTTGTCCCCACTTGGTCTGACTGGTTAGAAGAGAGATATTTGAAGGAATAAAAAATACCTATAATTTTTATTTACATTTCATTAAATAGAAATTTAAACTTAGGATTTGTGAAATTCGGACGACAATACATCATATGATTATGAAGAGATCTATGGTTAGTAATTCAATGCAACACAATTGAAGTCGATGCGGCGGAGAGAGAGAGAAAAAGAAGAGAAGAAGGTCAAAACTGTAATTAAAGCCAAATCGAAGACCAGTTTATTAAACTCCCAACTGCCATGTCCGAGTTACTTTATGCTGATAGGATTGGAATTACAACCCCTCGTGGTTGCGTGATGTAATTCAAAAGTTTTAACTCCCTTTTATAAAAAAAAAAAAAAAAAAGAAACTTATTTACTTTACTTTCCGACACTCCCAAATCTCTCTCTCTCTCTCCAGTCTCCACCATGAAGCTTCTTCCGTCGCCGGCATTATTCTTCCTCCTACTCTTCATCGCCGCCTCCGTCTCCGCAGCACCTGCCGTATCTCCAGCGAGTTCTCCGACGGAGACCCCCTCCCGAGCTCCTCCTCCGACGGCCCCCTCCCGAGCACCTCCGACGACCTCATCCTCCCCACTAGACCCGAAACAGCTCGAAGCCCTCGAATCTCTCAACATTCCCACCGCCAAAAACCCCTGTGACCGCCGTCCCTCCGCTGCATCCTCTGCTGTCGTCACCTGCGACGGTGGATCTCCCTTCCGCCACGTCACCGGCATCTTCTTTACCAACTGTTCCTCTGACCTCTCTATCTCCGCCACCGCGCTCCGAGCTCTCTCCCCTTCTCTCCTGTCTCTCTCCTTCCTCGACTGTCCCTCTCTCTCCCCTCCGCCACGTTTCCCTGTGTCTCTCCATTCCTTCTCCGCCGTCTCCTCCTTCCTCCGCCGCCGTGGCCTCTCCGGCGTCTCCCTCGCTCGTCTCGTCAACCTCACCGACCTCACTGTCTCCTCCGTCCCTGTCTCTGCCTCGGGCCTCTATGTCATCCTCGGAAACATGCATAAGATCACTTCCCTCACCATTTCCAACGCAAATATCTCCGGAAGCATCCCGAAACACTTCCACTCGAATCTCACCCATGTCGATTTGTCCAATAATCTGCTGAAAGGTTCCATACCCACTTCCATTACCCTTCTCTCCAACCTCCAATCCTTGAATCTGACCCGAAATTCGCTCTCCGGTGAGATACCCACCGGCATTGGAGATCTGATGTGGCTTAAAAACCTGTCTCTGGCGTCGAATAGGTTGTCCGGAGCTATACCTGACGCGATCTCGTCTATCCCTGGGCTGACCCATTTGGATCTGAGCGGGAACCAGCTAAACGGCACTGTCCCGAGCTTCTTCTCCAAGATGAAGAACCTGAAGCACTTGAATCTCGCAGACAATGCTTTCCATGGAGTATTACCCTTCAATGCGAGCTTCTTGAAGAGACTTGAAGTGTTCAAAGTGGGCGGAAACAGCAACCTCTGTTACAATCACTCTGTTCTGTCTTCGAAAATGAAGTTGGGCATTGCTCCTTGCGACAAACACGGCCTGCCCATGTCGCCGCCACCGCAGAAGGAGGACGCTTCCGCTTCGGATTACGATTACAGCGATAACGGAGATGGTAATGGGAAGAAGAAGGAAGAACACCATGGTCCTAACAAGGTCGTGCTTGGAGTCGCCATTGGCCTTTCTTCCCTTGTGTTCTTAATCGTCTTCTTGATACTTCTCGCTAAATGGTGTGGTTGATCGAAAAAGCCCTGATCTTTGGGAGTGATTAGGGTTCTTTCGGGGCGAGGAGGAACACCAGTAAACCAAGAGTACTCCTGGAGAGAACCGAACCGGTTCTCCAGAGCCAATTGGAAATTCCGGTACCAATCCCGATTTAATTTTCGGTTTTGTTATAAAAATTACACGATGAAATTGGTTATTTGTTTGTGGTTTTCTATTCTACGGTGCTTGTAATTGGTTTTTTCATTTTCCCACATTGATCGGGAGAGAGAATTATTAGGCAATTAGAGTATTTAATTTCCTTTTATTCTTCAGTTTTGCCCTTTTGAAATTGTGGTGTTGTGATTATGATTACAGACATTAATTATGGTTGTCTAAAGAGCACTTCTACCATAGGAGTGTTAAAGCATTATTTCTGTAATAATTGTTCTGTAATCTGAATTTGTATTTTAATATTTTATTCAAATGTTTTTTTTTTAATTTTTCTATTTACATAGAAAACACAAATATAGAGTAAAATTATCGACAGTTTAGTTTGTTTTTGGTCATGCATTATTATCTTTTGTGCACATGTTGTTAGGTCAAAATGATATGTATTATATATGCATGCATGTGTATATGGTGAATCATGATATTGTTGGTCCAAAATGATGTGATTAAGAATAATTGAAAGTCATTTGATTGGTCTCAAGAAATGGATTTTGGCAAATATCAAAGGGAAAAACATGAACAAAGAGAATAAAATAATGTAGCTATGATTCTCCTTATGTCTTTCTTTGAAGCAATGGCGCTATTATGAACTTGTCATAGCACCAATCAAATCCTCCAGCCTGTTCATGTCATGTTAGATTTCACACACACAATATATAGTTGCGCGGAAAGCCCGTCTATATCTTGCTTAGAGCTAAACATCGATGCCCGTCCAAAATCTCCGAGGATTGACATGAACTCCGAGCCTGTTGCTTCGAAAGAACAACCGGCTGCTCCTCCAACTGGGGTTAATGATGTCTTCTGGGAGCAGTTTCTGACAGAGAACCCAGGTTCCACCGAGCAGCAGGAAGTTCAGTCAGAGAGGAAGGACGCGGAAGCGAAGAAGGACGGAAACAACGGTAGTAAGACGAGCGATTTATAGAAATCTCCAACATGCATTGATCCCCAAATCAACCCAATTGTGTAAAGAGAGATCAATTCTTTTAACACACAAGGGAAACCCAATTCAAACCTCTCCGCAGAAGTATGCTTCGAATCCTTTTGCATAGAACGGGGAAAATCTATACACAGAGTTTACATCTTGGATAGCAGCAAATTCACCAGAAACCTCTGCAAGAACAATGGCCATCCGTAAAATGGTGAAACCGGTTCAGATCCCTTAGCACGATCTCCCGTCTGGTGATCTTAGACATGAACTTGGCCATTTCATGGCAATCTCCACAAACTCTAAGATTCTTCGTGACCCTGATGATTTTTCCATGTCCAGAGCTCAGAATCCCTAAGGCCATGGCTAATTTCTCACTGTGGCCACATAGAGCAGCTTCCTTTTCCATCTCTTCCGCATCTATCAGTGCGTATTTCGTTAGAGGCGAATACCCTTCTTCCATCATTCGAGCTCTTAACCTCCTCAGCAGAGCTTCTATCTTCTCGGTCTGTGGATGTGAACTATCCCCAGATACAAAGATATTAACTTTGCCCTTGATCTCTATCCAGCTACATCCCGGGTTTTTTCTCAGCCCTCTCTGCCCGATCCTCTGTCTTAGCCTTTTCACTTCTTCCCATTTCTCTGCTTCTGCATAGATATTCGCCATAAGTACATAGTATCCTGTGTTCTCCGGTTCAAGCTCAAAGACCTTTTCCGCTACTTTCTCGGCTAGCTTGACATCATGATGTATCCTGCAACCACAGAGCAGAGCTCCCCAGATTGTAGAATCCGGTGGAATTGGCATTTTCTCGATGAATCGATAAGCTTTTGACAAATTTCCAGTTCTTGCGAGCAGGTCAACCATACAAGCATAGTGTTCCAGTGTAGGCTCGATCTTGCATTCGTGTCTCATGATGTTAAAAAACCTCCACCCTTCATCGAGCAACCCAGAATGACTACAAGCATACAGTACAGAGACGAAGGAAATTTCATCGGGCTCAATACCCGCTTTTCTCATTTCATTGAACATATCAATGGCTTCATTTCCAAACCCGTGCATGCCATATCCAGCTATCATCACAGTCCAAGAGACCAGATCCTTGGAAACAATATCATCGAAGAGCAAGCGGGCGAATTTAAGTGCTCCACACTTGGCATACATGTCTACGAGTGAATTAGCAACATGCCGATCAGAGAAATACCTGTTTCTCATTATGTAACTGTGTATCTCTCGACCTTTATCAAAAGCAGCAACACTTGCACAAGCCGGAAGAACACAAACCATCGTCCTCTCATCGGGTCTCGACTGGCATTCTTCCAACATCGCAGAGAACAGGCTGAGAGCTTCATTAGCAAAACAGTTCTTCGAGTAACCGCCAATGACGGTATTCCATGAGACGATATCTTTCACGGGCATCTCAGAGAACACTAAACGAGCCTCTTCCATGCTTCCGCATTTTGCATACATATCCATGAGGGCATTGGACACAAACAGATCAAAATCCATGTCGTTTTCCCTTATCCAATCATGGACTTGCCCACCTTCTTCTAATAGACCATTACGAGCACAACAGTTGAGGACCGCAGTGACAGTGTAAACATCTGGGCTGATACCTTCCTTCTCCATTTCCGAGAATAACTTCACAGCCTCACCAGCCAGACCTTCTCTGGCATAACCAGCAATCATCGATGTGTATGAAACAGCACTCCTATCACTCATCTGCTCGAAGACAGCCTTGGCTGAACCCAGATCACCACATTTCGAATACATATCGAGCAAAGTATTACAGAACCGATCTTTACAAGCAAAACGAGTTTTCAACCCGAAACAATGCACTGCTCTACCTAAGGATATAAAACGGCAATCAGCACAACCCGAGAAAACGCTAACCATAGTAGCCAAATCAACATTTAAGCCTGATAGTAGCATCTGCACAAAAATAGTAAGCCCTTGTTCAGCCGACCCGTTTGATATATACCCATTTATCATGGAATTCCATGATATAACATCTCGTTCAGTCATTTCGTCGAACAGCCTACGCGCGCTTTCAACTCTCCCGTTCTTTAAATAAGATGCCATCAGAGAATTCACCACGGAATTGTAGTTTCCAAACCCAGTTTTCAGAACATAACCATGAAGCTGCTCTCCTCCATTAACACTTCCCAGAACCGATAAGCTCTTAGATATAGAGGAAAATGTATAATGGTCCGTTTCGATTCCGGAATTCAGCATTTTCTTGAATAATCCAATGCTCTCGCGGAAATCTCCAGTTTTTACGTACTCATTTATCAAGAGATTCCAGAATAATGTCTTCTCTATCCTGGTTAGATCAAAAACCCGTCTCGCTTCCCGCAAATTCCCACAATTTACGTACATAAGAACGAGTTTCGATCCCAAGTTCGCATCTATCGCGAACCCATTAGCACGGATGAAGGAATCAACTTCTCGACCATGATTCAGAGACTTCGAATCGGCACAAAGCTGCAGCATTGAGCATAATGTTCTCGGGTCGATCTCCGGTTTTGAAGAAGTGCGAAGCAGTTCCGTGGCACTCTCAAGATTACCCGCTTCGCAGAACCTCCGAATTTGGGTGTTTGAATTGGAGAAGCTGCGAACAACGGTTGAAACTGAATCTGAAGAATCTCTGCCATCGAGAGATACTGCTCTTGAGGAGGGTTTAAGAGAAATTGAGCCCTTTTGAGCTCTGGCAACGCTATGGCTATCCCTGTGCCTGTAAGATATGGCATGGTGAGGGAGCGGGAAACAGACGCTTGAGTATAGATGTGCCATCGTTTTCTCAGTTTCTCTGTGCTCATCCGACAAGGAAACGCGGGAAAAGAGAAGAATCCAATCTAACAGTTTGATGTTTCGCTTCAGTGCTTGCATAAAAGAAGCAATTTCCGCCCAAACTGAAAAGATAACCGGGCCGTTAAATGGGCCTAACCAAAACGGGCTTAACATTAGACCCACTCAAAGGCCCATTATATGAAAACCATTCACAACTCACCAAACGATGACAAAAGTTGGCCTGGATATCGCTCTATGTACAAATAAATAAACCTTGGAAATCTTGGGATTTGGCACCATTAGATTCCAAAAACATGTTCATACTTTAAAGCATTCATAGGATTCAACCAACTGATGTAAAAAAAAAAAGAACTGCAATATGAAATTCTTAAGATCCAGAATTCTAAGGTAAAGCCAGCAACAGCTAGACCAAAACAAAATGTGAGGTAAAAAAGGTTTAACCAGTGATGTTCTGAGACTTGTTGAGGATAACACCTTCGTACTTGACTTGGAACCACTTCATGGCGTCTTCCTTGGTCACTCTGTGCTGAATTCCGACACGGGCCTTGCATCTGCGGCGACGGGCCACACGGTATCCCGGCCGTTCCAGAACCACGTAGAAGTCCATACCATAGATACCGGTCGACGGGTCATACCTATAAAGTTTGAAAAAGTTCACAAATTCAATAAAATTTTGTAATCATCTTCACATCTTTGATTCCAAAGCAAATCACACAATCATCATAGAGAGAATTTCTTAAGGGCTCCCTAACAAAATACCCTTGCTAAGCTAATACTTCCAATTATGGTACATTATCAACAATACCAATGAGGGCAAGACAACAACAGCAACTAGGAAAACATACAAAAGCTATGAAGAGCTAATGTTTCTCACATGGTCGCCAATGTACAAATTACATCTCCAAATTCGAGCTTCCGAAAGAAATATCAATCAAGAGGAAACAAGAACCATTTAGTCTTAGCATAAGAAATGGCACCCAAACCCAATCATGGGAATCATCAAACGCAGCAACTTCTACAAAAGCCACACGCAAGCATGTCCAAATTCAATCACAGGCGTAATAAAAAAAGCCAAAGCACCGCATTAACAAAACTTACTTGATTCCAAGATCAATATGCTCCTGAATACCGAACCCGAAGCAACCAGTGTCGCTGAAATTCCTCCTCAGAAGCTCGTACTCCTTCACTTTCAAACCACTCTCAAGGAGCTGCATCGCTTTTTCCCCCCTCACCGTGACATAGCACGCAATCTTTTCATTACGTCTGATACCAAAAGACCTCACAGTGTACCTCGCTGTTTTATACACATGTTTTATATATCACCACTTAGATTATAATGGCATGGAAAGAACACTAGAACAAGATGCGATAGCCTCCAAGAACACACCCACTTACCCTTGGAGAAGACAGGGGTTTGACCACTGAGTTGTTCCAAGACCTAGAATGACCAAATGCCCTGATTTTAGATTTTTTAAAAAAAACACCGGATGGGTAAATAAAAAAGTTGATTCTTTCTCTCGTCATTCAGTGTTTCGGAATTTTCCCAAAGTGACATGCAAATCTATGCGGCATTCGAGACTATGCACAGAATAAGAGAGAAATGATCTAGAATCCATGTTCTCTGATTTCTGAGTCAGTAATTTTCTGGAGAAACAAACAGACCTTGGCGGCACGGGTGAGGCGATCACCACTCTCACCGACGGAGATGTTGAGGACGAGCTTCTGAACCTTAATGTCCCTCATGGGGTTCGAGAGTTTCTTCTCCGACGCCTACACCAACAGGAAGATAATTATAAAAACCCAATAAACAGAAAATCAACAAATGGAAGAATCTATCGGAGAGGAAAGATAAGAAGAGAGATAGAGAGACCATCTCAGAAGATCGATACGAGGAGCTGGAGGAAAAGGGCGGATGGCGGACGAACTCTGGAACGAGAGCGGAAAGTGAGAAATATATGAGAAAGGAAGCTAGGGTTTTTCAAACGAAACGAAATGACGAAAATGCCCTCAGTTGGATTAAAATAAGAGGGACGACCATAAGGGGCAAAAACAAAAAATTCCGTTGCCGGGACTCGAACCCGGGTCTCTCGGGTGAGAGCCGAGTATCCTAACCATCTAGACTACAACGGATCTTGCTATCGATAAGTTCTATCGTATTCAATGAAAGAAAGAATTTGATTAATTTATTTATTCCTTTTCTAAGATTATCCCTGTCTTTGTTTATGTCTCACACTATTATTGACCTAAGCCGAACATAACCGTGGAACAAAAGAATGAAGAATTCGGACATCAACCAAAACTGATATACAGTTGCAGAAAACCAAACAGTGTAGTATACATTTCTCATGGTTTGTTTGGCTGTCTTCACATCAGCGTGGTCCGGAGAGCTCAATGGCTTCAATAACGAAGGAAGAATCTTCATGGCCTCCACTGTAATTCCTAGAGACACTCGGGACCCTATCCTCGTATCCGCCTCTGCCTCCGCCACTCCTTTCCTCGATCCCCGACTCATCCACGAGACCTTCAAGAACCTTCAACACTTCCGACATCCTCAGCCTCTGGTTTGGATGCGGCTGCGTGCAGAGTAGAGCCAGCTCCACTGCCTTCTCCATCACCGTCCCCTCGAACTCCCCCTTCAGATCTCTGTCCACCATCTCTTCCAGTCTTTCCTCTGCTTTTAGTGTTCTTACCTGATCCAAACAAATTCAGGGTCTGCCTCAAAATCCTCTGTTTTCGCGCAAATTCACTGAAGGAAGTGTTTTGTTGGCTTACCCAGTTCAGAATCATTCCTTTTCGGACATGACTGTTTCCCTGCTCCAGCATCTTATGTCCTGTTATGAGTTCCAGAATCAGTATCCCAAATCCGAAAACGTCGGTTTTCTCAGAGGACTGTCCAGTGGAAAGGTACTCTGGAGCTATGTGACCTATTGTCCCTCGTACTGCAGTGGTGACATGTGAATCTCTCTGGTCCAGAAGCTTTGCCAGACCAAAGTCTCCTACAACTGCTTCAAATGTCTCATCGAGTAAGATATTTGCGGCTTTTACATCTCGGTGGATAATCTTTGGATTGCATTGCTCATGCAAGTACACCAGCCCACGAGCTGCACCCAGCGCAATCCATATCCTCCTGTTCCAATCAAGGGACGGCTTTTCTCCACAATTGTCTGAAAAAAAACCCGACAAAGGACACTTATGTTGGGAATATGTAGAGCATTACTGTCGTTTGTATTGAAGAGAGAGAATGGGAAAAAGGGAAATGAACCTCTAAGGCGATCAGCAACACTTCCATTTGGCATGTAAGGATAAACGAGCAACCTCTCCTCCGGTGTCATGCAGAATCCATAGAGGCGTAAAAGGTTACGATGAACAGCCAATCCAATCAGCTCAACCTCTGTTTGAAACTGAACTTCTCCCGTATAATTTGGATCTTTCAGTCTTTTAACTGCCACAACCGTTCCATTTGAGAGATACCCTTTATAAACTACCCCGAACCCGCCTTGTCCCAGGATGTTCCTTGGACTAAAGTTGCTTGTGGCAGTTTGCAGCTCACGAAAAGTGAACCTTTTCAGATGCCCGATTTCAAATTCATAATCTTGCTGCACTGAAAAATCCACAAGGATGATAGAGTGTTCCGTTAGTATTCATCATTAGAGCCAAAGGTTGGAAAGGGAAAGTGACAGGACACAATACTTAATACCGTATGATTTGGCGAGACGGGATCGATTCCAGAGCACCCAGAAAATGACAAACATCAGAGACACGATAAAGGCAACACCGATGCCAAAGGCGAAAGAGAGAACCCAACTGTGATGGTTGTCGCTCTTGTCCTTTTCAGACAAACCAGAGACTGCATATATATATTGTCACATGTTAACAGTTCATGTTTTTACGTAAAACGGTAAAAGTACTTGCAAGTGAAGAATTAGCATGTTATACTTTACCGTCTTTCAATTTTGTCACATTAGAGCAAACCTCTTCAAGAGCTGAAGCACAAAGAAATGCATTACCAGCAATCCTACAAAAGAAAGGTCCTCTAATCCGTTAATACACACATCACAGAGAGGCTTTAGGACAAAGTTTTAAGAAAGATAACGTTAATAATCATTCACTACTTATGTTACCTGTAATCTTTCGCTAATATATTTGGAGTCGGTCCACTCAGGTTGTTGAATGAGAGATCCCTAGTTAAGGTTTTGTTAAAAAATCAAGAAGCCTAAGAACTATCATGCTAATAGAAAATCGATACAAATTTATGAAGCAGAACAACACATACAAGAAAGAAAGACCTGTGAGGTCAGCAACAAGGCGAGGGATTTGTCCGGATAAAAGATTTCTGCTGAGCCGCCTGAAAAGCTTATAGAAGTGATGAGAGTTGAAATGCAAAGCCAGAGAAAAACATTTATTTGGGAGCTCAAAGCATCACTAAATATCATATACTCACAGGTAATTTAGACGAGTAAGAAACCCTAAAGAACTCGGGATTTCACCGCTAAGCTGATTACCGGAGAGATCGAGGGTTTCAAGCTCGGTAAGTTGCCCTAACTCAGAAGGAATGGGACCTGTTAGTTGATTATTCTGCAATAGCCTGCAAACACATACACAAACAAGGTAAACTAATCCACGTTATGTCTATGTTCTATCATTACATGGACATAGATACACAAACCAGTTCACAAGATGCTTGACATGGATATACATCTATGGAACATAAACACAAGGAAAAAGCTTCAAAGATTATCCAAGAAATGGAATTTCTTATAAACCATTACTCAAGAAAGAGACTGACAATGTTCGAAGATGAGTAAGCTCCCCAATGCTAGCTGAGATTGTGCCCGACAATCCCTTACTCGCCATCTCTCTGCATTAGAGATCCAAGATTATGAATTTACAGGACACAACCAAATATACAGATCCAAAATATAGTTTTTTGGGCAACAAATCCTCGTCTATACACATCGAAAGCTAGCAGAATGAGAAGAAACTCCTACTGAAAACACATCCATCTTTCTGTTTCTCATCAATGTCTTATGTAGAGAGGAAACTTTTGTCCAAAAACATACGTTTTCTGGGCAACCAAACAGAAAATAAACCAAGCGAATCAGAGAACGATAACGTACATAGAAACAACGAAGCCCTCGGCTGAGCAACCAACCATGTTCCAAGTGCAAGGATCAACAGAGTTTATATCCCAACCCTCCATCACTGCCTCATCATCTCTCATCTTGTTCTTCACTGACATTAGTGCCGCCACTGTAAAAAAAAAACTTGGTAAAAATTAGTTGCTAATTTCAGTGTAATCAATCATTACTTAACGGTATCACAAAGGAAACCCAGAACAAAAAAAAAAAAAAAGAGGATTTTGTGGTTTTTTCTGATGAACTCACCTTCATAGTTAACACCCTTGGGCGAGAGGAGACTGTCAGTAGCAGAAATAGAATCGACCCAACAAAACAAACATCCTAAGAACAGAAACTTCACCACATTTTCCATCAGAAGTGTAAGAAAGCCAGAGAAATCTCAGGATTTTTTTGGGGGATGGTTACCAAAGTTCGGTTTTTTGGGACAAAGGTTTCATTTTTCAGCAGTTTATCACCAGGGTTTTCCCCCATTGTCTAGGGCAAGTCAAAACCCATTAAAGAAAACAACGACGAAGACAGATTAGAAAAAATGAGAATTCATTAAATTATTTTGGTGGGTTTTGATCTATGAGAAGATCCAGAGGTCGAAGAAGACAAACAAAAAAAATAGCTTGTGGAAGCGGGAAAATCCTCGAGATAAGGAAATTGACAAAAAAGTGTCCCCTTGTCTCCGCTATTAGACTTACTGTGTCCGATGGCCAAGACCTGATCCTCTGGGGATGGATCCTACGGCAAGGATGAGAATGAGACAACGACAAATCTCGACCGTTGATCTGATCATACCTTGTATCTATCAGACAAATCACAAAATCACACGCACAATGAAAAATTTGGGAACTTGATACTTGAACAACCGACATGTGAAGACAAATTATTAAGTTCACTCATCTACTTCTGCACTGCATTTCAACGTCAACACCCTTCATTTATGGAGATAACCCTAAAGGGTAGGTGACGACAATTCAATCAAAAACATAACTCGGCATTGAAGGTGTAAGCACCAAAAAAAAGACAAGTCTTTGTGAGTTGTCTCAGTAATAAAAGTCATAAACAAACCACCTCATGAACTGGTAACAACGCTTTGCAGGGAACAACTGTTCAAGAAGGCTAAAAAAGCGAAAAACATAGAGAAGTAAACCCAGCAGCACCATTTTCAGACTGATCAACACTTCATCTCTCGACCCTCTGCTTTAAGCTTAATATATATCTGACTAAATCATTTACAGATAAAAAGATGAAAGAAAACAGAGGGGCAAGTCTTTTTTTTTTTTTCCTTCAATAACTCTTTTAAGCTAAAAGGAGAAGGGAGAGAGATAGAGTGTTGTGGGGGGAATTCGCAGATATAGCCGTGTTACCGCCTAACCTGTCTGAACAAGACAGTTTTTACGTTTCTGGGATTGGTGAGGGAGCTTCTTAAGCGAGCATCGGGTTGCCACTTGTCAAACATCATCATCTTGCTACATATATTCATATAAAGAACTCTGGCCTGCGTCCAGGTGGATGAAGGATTGTTTATGTCCCGGTTGGATGCAAGAAACTGAGACCCAATTGTCTCTTGATATGGTCGGGTATCAACTTGGTGACCAGCTCAGGTGATGCTCCTGCTATCTGTTGATCATGAACATAAGCATTCAAGTTCTCTCTCTCTTTAATTTTTTTTTTTTTTTTTTGAGGAAAAGTACAAGAGAGAGTACCTCTTGTTTGAAGTTGAAGAGAGGAGGGAAAGGCCGTCCATTCGGGAGACGGGCATTAGGTTCTCGAAGTTCATCAAAGAATGGATGAGCACACGCTTCAAGCTGAAGAACAATATCGTTAAGTATATTAGGTTTTCTCAGCAGATTTGCAAAATGTTCTAAAGCAACCGAAAAGGGGAAATGAAAAATGATTAAACTCACAGCTGTGCATCTAAGGCTTGGAGAGTATTGGAGCAACCTCGATGCAAGATCAATGGCTTCCGGAGGCATCCTTTTGTGAAAAATCTACACAAAATGAGAGCATTCGATAAGAACGAAACCAGCAGCAAAGCAAAGTACAAAGGCCGTGACTTTATTTTTTCACGAAGAAACTTCGATAATAGTTAATGATGAAAAAGGCAAACCTTGTGCCAAGGATGTGCCTTTATCTGCGGAAACCTAAAATCTGTATAGCTTGGGTTCATGCAACGGATTTCTTCCCGAGTTGGTGTACCAAGAACCTGTTCAAGCAATTATACATGAGGATTTCTCGCCAATGATGCCGCTACAGACATAATTTACCAAGTTTCATAATCAAATATTTCACCTTTATAATCTCTACGAGCTGATCCACAGCGTTTTCTCCCGGAAATAGTGGCTGTGAAGGAACAAAATACCAAACTGTGAGTGAAACTCTTTCCATGGAGTGCATAGGAGAATCTAGAGAGGAGAGAGGAGAAAACTCCATACTTGACCCAGAAGAAGTTCGGCAAGAACACAGCCAGCCGACCAGATATCAATGGAAGTTGTGTATTCGGTGGCGCCAAATATAAGTTCAGGGGCACGGTAGAAACGAGAACAGATGTAAGAAATGTTGGCTTCACCTTTAACCTGATCACAAGAACCACAACGTTGATGTCTGAACTTTTGGAAAGAAGGGAAATTGCCTCAACCGAGCAAATATGTTACTCATAACGATTTAGCAGAAGCTTGGGGCAACATGAAGAGACATACCAACTGTTTTGCGCTTCCAAAGTCACAGATCTTGACCTGATGAGTGAGAGGATCGACCTGTGGAAACCCCGAAAGCATAATTTAAAAAAAAACGAAAGCATAATTGAAAAATAAAATGCGGAAACTCATTTGTTTTTTCTGTACATCATTTTTATTTTCTAGAAATGCATACCAAAAGATTTTGAGGCTTTAGATCTCTGTGACAAACGCTGACAACATTGTGGATATATGCAAGTCCCCGGAATATCTGCAAGTCAAGGAATAATTAACCAAAACGATGATCAAAGAAAAACAAATCCCTTCATATCAATTTTGATCAGGAAATTCTTGAAATTTACCTGATACATATAAAGTTTCACGTAGATAAGCGGCATTCTTTGATTTGCGCTGCTATAGTGCTTCAGCACCCTATACAAGCTCTCGGGCACATACTCCATAACCAAATTGAGAAAAAGCTCGTCTTTACTTGTGGTGGAGAAGAAACAATGCTTCAAAGAAACCACGTTCGGATGATCCATCACACGCATTAACTGCAGTTCTCGATTCTTATATCTCCTGTCTTGCAAAACCTTCTTTATGGCAACAGTTTCCCCAGTTTCCAAACACTTTGCCTGTTAAAAAAAAAGACAACTTGAGGCCCGAAAACCGACATATCGAGCAAGATTCATTACAGAAGAGAGGTTGCATTATACCCGGAAAACTATCCCGAATGATCCTGTTCCTACAACACTCTCGGCCATGTAACTCATTGTCTACAGGTACAAGAGCCAGAAGAAAATTGTGTCAGAGCTCAAAATAGAGGGACTGACTGGCAGACAAACAAAGCGTATTTGGTAACCTATAATTACCTGTTTTGGTTCTCCATTTTTTCCTCCGATCGTGGTGGAAATTATGTGACCAGTAACTTGATCATGCCCATCAACTACAGCGTCCGACATCTCCTGCAAGACGAGCATATTCAGGTAAGGAAAAAAATAAATGAAACCTGCTTTAAACGATCATCGATAAGATTACTGCACTTTATCAAGCAAGGAGACAGATAAAGCATAGGACATAGAACAAATGGATAAATGTTCAAACCAAGAACAAGCAAGACATCACAGATCGAGACCGACAACCTCAGAGTCAGTTCGGTAAGACCCCGAAAGCTAGATCGCCGCTACAGAAGCTAATCACGGAATCTAAAAACCGAAAGTGACCCACTTTTGGAAACGGAAAAAAATCTCTGAGAAAAGAAAAAGTAGCTTAATTTCAACACCCCCAACGATTTTCACCACCTCGAAGCTTCAAATCAGGTCTTTTTTCTCCTCCAAGTAACCCAAAAACAGTTAGATCGTTAAAAGGGGAGTACTTTGCAGAACCTAGAAACCCTAAACAACCCTTCCGAGAGCTCAGAGGATCTCAAGGAACATCTTACAGAAGCTCAAACAGTTTCCGAAAAAAATCGAAACTGCACCCTGGTCTGTACTTGGCAATCTCTGATTCCGTTAAAAAGGCGGAAGAAAACCAAAACTTAGAAAAGTACGGACATCTCCGAACTTGCCCTTTCTATCAAACACCAAGAATCTAAAAAGAAATGAAAACCAGGTGTAAAAAACAAAACGAGGGAGAAATGTGGAAACCCCTTTTCCCGGAGAAAACACAATGGAATCTCAGCGGAAAGATAGAAAAGAAAGGAAACCCAGGTGCTTACCTTATCATCAGCCATGGCGAAAGAGACGCAAAGAGGGAAAG